GAGGAACTGCTTCCAGGACTCCCTCAGATAGCAACATCCACAGATGCTCAAGTTCCTTATATAAAATGGTCCAGCATAGGCATAGAACCTGAGCGCATCCTCCTATACACTTTAAGTTGTATCTGGGTTGCTTATAATACCTGCTGCCCTGCAGATGGTGTATAGATCATGGTTATATCATCTATGGCCGTATCACCCTGAACGCGCCCGATCTCGTCAGTTCATGGTTGTACTGCATTATTTAGGGAATAATAACAAGAAGAAAAGGCTGTACGTGCTTAGCATAAATACTATTTTTTCTCCAAAGATTTTCAATTAGTGGTTGGTTGGATGTTCAGCTGTGTAACCAGGGACATGGAGGGTTGAATATGCTTAAAGATGGGAGTAAGAGGGGTGTCTCAGTAAGTGTGATCAGATGAATGAGTAATGAGTAAACAAAGCCTCCTGCAGCCAATCGGAGCCATGACTAAAGCCATCATATACCAAAGCCCTTTGTCCAGCTGCACTACCTGTAGCTGGTGTCAGTGGATAGTTAGGACCCAGGAAGGGCCCGTGGCAGGAGTGGCTGCCCTTGGCAGTGGCAGTGGGTGTTGAGGCATGTGTGTACTGGGTTGAGCCATAGGTCAGCTGCAGAGTGAAAGGGACAGCTCAGATCTGCGTCCTGCTTTGGGCCACACTGCTGGGAACAGGCCACTGCTGGGCTGTCAAGGGGCTGCTATGCTGGCTAATGCGGTGGGGGTGGGGGTGCCACTCGCTGTGCACCCTGCCAGGGAGGGTGGTGACGGGGCTAGGCAAAGCTTGTCCTTTGTATTCCCAGGGGCTGAGCTGAGGGCGTGGTTGGTGTGGACCCACACAGGAAAGGATTCCCCACCTTCGGGGAAGGTTTTGTGGCCAGTGGGCTGAAAGGGGGAAGAATTTGGCCCTCCCAGAGGCTCCGCTGAGCTGGGGAAAGCTTTCCCTTTCCCGGTAGTGAAGCAGGATGTACTTCCGGGGTAGGTTGGGGCTATCCCACTGGGGAAGCCGTGGGGAGTGGCTGGCTGTCGTAGGCAGGCAGCCTGTTAGCTATTTCCCCAAGGCTGAGTCATTGCATAGCAATGCTCCTCCCAAAGCCACAGCTCCTAGGGCCTGATCCTCTCTGGGCACTAGCTCACCGTGAACTCGCATCCCCAGGATGGCCCAGGCCTCTGGCTGGAGCTCTGGTTCCTATTACTTCCTTGCTCTTAACCCCTTGTTCATCCCCTCAGCCCCAAGTCATTCTGTTAGGAGCTTACGGTGACTCACCGTCACACAGGCCTTTGACACCAAAGACTAAGAACAACCCAGGGAGTGAGTTCTTGCCGGCCTCAGCAGACAGCTTGGCCTGTCGCATCTGAGCTCAAACTCAAGGACCCCAAAGACCCAGGCTCACACCCACCCTGGACTGCTGGGTGCCACAGCACCCTTTGTCACTGGAATAGTGGGACAAGTAGAGGTTGCGTTTGGACCCCACCTCTCTTGGGCCCCTTCTTTGCTGGATATTGAAGGTGATTGTCAAAAGCCACAAGCCACAAAGCCTCATGCCATGCTCCGGGAGTGAGGGTTAGGAAGCAGACAGCTCTGAGAGACTTGCCGCTTTCTGGGGTGTGGAGCCAAGCAGGGTCCTGGGGGATCCCAGGCTGGCCTAGGAAGGGTACACAAGGGTTGAGTCAACCCTTGTGCCTGTCCCTGAGAACATGTATGGCAATGCCACATATCCGTTCTCACTGAGTGTCCTCACTGCCCCCTCCTTTACAGCCCTGCCTGCCAAGCTGTGCTGGGAAAGGGAAGCTAATGGGGTGGTGGGGAGCGCCCTGACCTACAGCTGTGATGGCCTGGATACTTGGTTCCCCTGGGTGGCCGCAAGGATCCAGACCATGCATCTCAATGGGCCCTGGCAGCTGTGGTTTCTGCTCTTTGCTGAGTGCTTCAGTTGGGAAACCACAGTGCTTGCTGAGCTTCCTGGTCTGGGGATTCCTCTGTTACATCAAAACCCTTATGAAACTCCATGTCTGGTGACCAGGCTCTCACGGAGTTCTGACCCTTGCTGCCCGCCCCCATGCCTCTTTTTTGTTGCTCAGTGGTGTGTGCCTATGTCCACATGTGTGCTCACGCTAGGACAGTGGATCCGACTGGGCCAGTTTTGCCTCCAGGGACACTGAGCTGTTTTGAGGCCATTTGGGTTGCTGGACATGGTGGCAAAGGCCTATAATCCCACCCTTGGAGGCTGAGGCAGGAGTATCACAAGTTTTAGCCCAGCCTGAGCAATTTAGTGACTTAGTGAGACCCTGTCTGGAAAATGTAAAGAGGGTTGAGGGTATAGCGCAGTGACCCTGGGTTCCATCCCCTATGTCTCCCCTGTACTGCTGCTGCTGAAGGTGATGATAATGGAACAATGGGTATGGATGCTGTTGACATCTAGCAGATAGTGGTCAGAGATGCTGTGAACATTATATGCACAGGGCACCCCCACATCCACTCCAGATACACAAAGAATCTACTGTGTCAGGACCTGCTCTAGGACTGCTCAAGACTTTACATTAGGCAGCAGCCAGGCTGTCTCCTCCCTTTTCTGTGTCCCCCTGGTCAACAGTGGGGAGGGCACTCAGTTGGTAGTAGCCACCGAGCAGTGCTGCTGCCCACCACAAGCCAGAGAAGGCTCTGGAGTGGACAGAAGCAGCACCAGAGTGGGGATTAGCCCAAGGCCAGCACTGCCCCTGGGGTGCCCCGCTATGTTGCTTTGCTCCAGGGAGCCTGCTCTCTTATCCATAGGATGAAAGCACCGCCCGGGATATCCCTTCCAGCAGTGTGAGATTCCAGTGCTCGGGGAGCTGGGCTGCAGCCTCACTCCCTGCCCTGGCAGCGGAGACCAGGAGTTTCCGGGATCTCATAGAAACCCACTGTAATTTTCTTCTATGCCCAAGATGACTGGCACAGAGCCAAAGAGAACTTAACCAAAGAGAATTTTACCCCCAGTTTGGGCCCGGGACTGATGGCTGACCCAGAGGGTCTCCTAAGGCATCCAAGATCAGCAAACTTGACCATGGGCCAGTTTGTTTTTGTTTTATTTTTGCATTTACTGGTTTATTTAAAGGCCACACCTAGGAGCAGGTAAGTGGAAGGTTTCAGACCTGGCACACAATACTCTCCAGCCAACACCTGTGTTTTCTGTAAATAAAGTTTTATTGGGACACAACCACACCCATCTGTTTGCATGTCTTTGGCTATTTTCTTGTAAGAAGACTGAGCTAAGTAGCCGTGACAAAGATTGTGTCAGCCAAAAAGATGAAAATATTTGCACTCTGGCCCTTTGCAGAAAGGGTTGGGGACCCTGGTCAGCGTATTCAATGTCTGTCCAGAGGTACCTCTGACAAGATGGTAGGGTCAGGGGAAGTTATCTTGCTTGTGGGTCTGTTGGGAAGGTAGGAGTGCTAGCCCTGCTACAGGGTCATCTGAGGGTCTCACAGGGGAGTCCTTTGTGGCTGTGGGCCAGCCAAGTCACTTGGAGTAGGTCAACCCTTGTGCCTGTCCCTGAGAACTAGGTGTCTGCTGACGGACAAGCAGTGTGGCTGCCTGAGCGTTCGAGAGGGGAACTTGAGGGGGTCAGGGGATTGACTGTGGAGTCCTGGAGCTGTGCTGTGTGCTGAGATAGAGGTTGAAGGGGAGAAACTGGGGGGCCAGAGCAGGGCAGTATTGGACTCTCAGGCACTTTGAAGACTGTGCAACTGCTAGACGGAGTTGAGCCGCTGCGAGGAAGCGTGAGGAAGCAGCACGTGCACCATGTGCCCTGACTGAACTTGGCTGTGGGCAGCGTGGCCCTAGAATGGAGGTGCTTGAGACCTGTGCTGTCTGCAGGAGTGGGAGGGAGGCAGCGCCTGGGGACCCCACCCCCCTCCTCACCCACCGGGCTTGTCAAATTCTTCCCTGTCTCTCCCCACCTTGCCCAGCTCAGCTGAGGTTAACATTTGGAAGCTGGCCATGGGGGCACATGTTTGTAATCCCAGCATTTGGGAGGCTCAAGCTGTAGCACTGTGAGATTGACCCAACCTAGACAATCTAGGGGCTTAGTGAGAGCCTGTCTGAAAACTGAAAAAAAATAAACAAATAAAAGAGCACCCTGGAGAGAAAGGGTTAGCCCCACACTGAACTTCAGCTTAGCTCTTGCTGGAGCTGCCCAGGTGGCATCTCGGTGCTCTCCTGGGCTCTCCTCCTCCTCCTCTGGGTTTCAGGCTTATCCCAGGGGGCTAAGTCATTTAGGGTCTGGTCTCTGCCTGTCTCCACCACTAATGATTAGAGAAATGGAAGGGAGTTTCCCAATCTAGAGTCTCCCTAATAGACCCGAGTTTAGAGACCCACCGTGGAGTTGTCTGGAGCTGTCCCCAGCGAGATCCTTGTTTGTGGGACACCGAGTGGGGGCGGGCAGGCTGGGAAGCTGGTTTTGTTGGTCCCCACAGCCCCACCCTAGTTCTGATTCAGGAAAGCAAGACCACACACATTCCTGTCAGTGCCGGGCAGCGTTGCCCTCCCCTTGGGCCCGGCCTGTCATTCTCTTCTCACTGAAGACTGTGACTCAAGCTGAGATGTCCCCTGACGCCACAGAGATCGGGGTCAGATAGCAGGAGGAACCTCAGCAAGTCTCCAGGCCGACTGCCTTGAATCACTGAAGCACCCTTGCGTCCTTCATCAGGATTTGGGGAGCACCTGGGGGAGGCCTGGTCCTTTAGAAGAAAGGTGGTTTTCTCACAGGTTTTAGGGCAAGTGTGTTTCTTGCTTCCTATCTCTCACTAGATGTGCAGAGCCACTCCTCCACTCTCGAAGCTTATGAATGAAGAAATAGGCAGTGTTATAAACTGATTGCTGGATTCTTACACATTGTTTCATTTTGGAGGGGGGGGCCAGGGCTTAAAGGACAGCCCCTTGGCAGATGGGCTTTGGTGCTGAGTGGCCAGCTGGTTAACCCTGTCCCTCCTGTTTTCTGCTTACAGCCCTGTGATCTCCCTGGTATCACCCTCTCCACCCCCTGGACTTGGACTTCAGATCTGATCCCAGACCTGCCTGCTGCCTCGGGAGGGTCTGCCTCCCCTCCCAGCCAGCAAGATGCCAATTCTCAAGCAGCTGGTATCCAGCTCGGTGCATTCCAAGCGCCGTTCCCGTGTGGACCTCACAACCGAGATGATCAGCGCTCCACTGGGTGACTTCCGCCATACCATGCATGTGGGCCGGGCTGGGGACGCCTTTGGGGACACCTCCTTCCTCAACAGCAAGGCAGGCGAGCCTGATGGCGAGTCCATGGATGAACAGGCCTCCTCCTCCTCTTCCAAACGCAGCCTTCTGTCCCGGAAGTTCCGAGGTAGCAAGCGGTCACAGTCGGTGACCCGGGGGGACCGGGAGCAGAGGGATATGCTGGGCTCCCTTCGGGACTCGGCACTCTTTGTCAAGAACGCCATGTCCCTGCCGCAGCTCAACGAGAAAGAGGCTGCAGAGAAGAGCTCCAGCAAACTGCCCAAGAGCCTGTCTTCCAGCCCTGTGAAGAAGGTGGAGGCTGGGGAAGGCAGCATGGAGGAGGCAGCTGCTGGGGAGCTGGGGCCCCGTCGGAATGGGGCCACGGGCCTCCACTCCCCAGACCCCCTTCTCGACGAGCAGGCCTTTGGGGACCTGACAGATCTGCCCATTGTGCCCAAGGCCAGCTATGGGCTGAAGCACGCAGAGTCCATCATGTCCTTCCACATCGACCTGGGGCCCTCCATGCTGGGTGACGTCCTCAGCATCATGGACAAGGACGAGTGGGACCCCGAGGAGGATGGTGGCGGTTACCGCGTGGATGAGGACCCCGACAGGGTCACCCAGGCTCCCCCTTCGGCAGAGGCAGCCCCTCCCCTGGCGAGGCCTTCCCACGCTCTGGAGGATGAGGGGTGGGTGGCAGCGGCGGCAGCGGCGGCAGCCCCCAGCCCCAGCTCAGCCCGCAGTGTAGGCAGCCACACCACGAGGGACAGCAGTTCCCTTTCCAGCTGCACCTCAGGTGTCCTGGAGGAGCGCAGCCCAGCCTTCCGGGGCCCAGAGCGGGCCCAGGCCACTGTCCCAAGGCAGGCCGACAAGGAGTTCTCCTTCATGGACGAGGAGGAAGAAGATGAGATCCGTGTGTGAGGTGGCCAGGAAGTAGCTGGAGCTCTGGGCTGCATCTTCTCCCTGCTCCCATCCCACTGTGACCTTTGACCTTCCCGTGTGAGAGGCAGCCTAGGACCTCATGGATGAGGGGCTCTGGCTGAGCCCAAGGCCCTCAGAGGACCTGAGGAGCCAGCCTGGGTGCAGACAGGTTGATTGCCTTCCTCACACATCTGTTCTCCACAGCAGCGGGGGACCGGGCTGTGTTCTCTAAGCAGGAATCAGTTTTCCTCCTGGCTTCCTCTTTCTCTAGCCTGGCCCCAAATGGATGCCAGATGTTGCCCCAAGTTCCTGCCTTGGGCACTACTGCAGGTCAGCCAGAGGCGGCTTACTCCATGGCCAGGACATTTGGTTCTCTACCCTCTTTCTTGCCTGGTGTCCCTGCTGTGACCATGAGTGCCCCAAGCGGGTGTGTGCAGCAGGATCAATGGGGTGGTCTCCCCTCCCCTCCTCTCCCCTTTCCTCCTCTCCCCTTCCCTCCAGCTCCATCTGTGGCTCCTGCTCCAGAAGCCTGAGCCTGGGAGATAGACTGGAGCAGGGCACCAGCCATGAACCAGACACTACACAGAGCCCCTTGCAGGGGTGAGGACAGCATGGTGACAGATGGAAGGAAAGCCCCGGGCTTCTTGGGTTTCCCAAGAAGGGCCCCTTCCCAGATGACACTAGGAACAGGGCTGGGGCCCCCGCCCTATGGGTGTGTTTGTTCTTTATTATTATGTTTAAATCCTTATAGAGCAATATTTGGAACAGTGTTAATAAATAGAACGGAATCCTTTTAGAAAACCTTTATACCGAGTCTCCTCTTGGAAGTGACAGTGACTGCTAGCTTATTCCAGTCTGGGAAGCTCCTGTGTCAAAAAACCAGCCCCACCTGAACTATGGGGAAGCATTCAAGAATGCTATTGACAGCTGCAGAAGGCCAGTGTAGAATTCTGAAAAATTATTATTAAAAAATAATATATCCTGGGTGGAGGCTGCGTTTCGACTCCCTCACCCTGCATGGGACACACACTGCCCCTTCCTTCCTCCAGCCCTCCCCTACTGCGGAGGCCAGGGCCCCGAGGGCTGCCAGATTTAGCAAAAAAGAGAAAACAAAAACCAGAAGGCTGAATTAAATTTGAATTTCAGGTAAACAAAAGATAATTTTTTAAGTATTCATAGACCCTGTGCAATATTTGGAACATGCTTAATGCTAAAGAGTTGTTTTTTTGAAATTCAGGTTTTGCTCCTCCTGTAACTCGACTCAGGGGATTGAGTAGAAGCTGGGGTGTGAGCTCCAAGGGTGACGCTGATTATTCTTCTGTCCTGGGAATGGGCTGACCAGCCTCTGCCTCTGCCTCTGCCTCTGCCTCTGCTTAGCCAGAGGGAAGAGGGGGAGAGAACTAACTACAGTACAAGGGGTCCCAGCCATCAGGGGCTGCTGGGACCCTGACTCTGAGACACTAACCTGGCTCCTAACCCTGTACTCCTCTTTCCGGAAGCTTAGCTCCCACAGCGGCGGAATCACAGGGCTATGCTCCCCCATCAGTGGCCCTCGGCACCCGCCTAGGTCAGTTCCAGACTTTAAACTGTGTATTTTTTCATGATATTGTTAAAGCAGCAAGGAAACATTAAAAGGCCCTCTAGCACATCTGGCATCTGTCTCTGCTTTTCGGGGACTTACTTCAGGGTGGGGAGTGGTCAGCCTGTGGTCACAGAGGCTTGAGTGGCTTCTGTCGGCCCCTTGGGGCTGTCTCCCGGAAAGACAAGGCCTTGTCTGTCCTTCCTGCACAGGCCCTTTTGGCTCGGGGTCCCCTAAGCAGCAGTAGGGGACCTTTGTCACTGGGCCTCTTGGTGCCTCATTTTCCTCCTGTGCAGTGGGACTCCAGCCGCCTTTCCCGTGATGTGGGGTTTATACAGCTGCACAGAATGAGGGGCCTGAGTGTTCCCATGCACAGGATCTGCCACCCAGGACTGAACTATGCACCCAGCTCTCAGAGGGGCTGGCACAAATGGGCCTCTTTCCCTTCTTTTTCTCCCCTTTCTCCTTGAGATCTGGAGAATCAACTTCAGGCTGCCAAGTTCTTGGTTTGACTACGCTGCCCAGTGAGGCAGAATCCTTCCGTATCCCGCCTCCTCTCCTGGATGAAGATGCATGCACAGGGAAGCTAAGGCCTCCTCCAAAGTCACAGCGTTAATCAGAGCTGGAGTTAGAACGTCCAGGCCCCTGCCCTTTTCACTACTACCCTCCTGGGTGTGGCAAAGCTTCGGTGCCTTGGGAAATGAGGTTGGGGTGTGCCTGCCCTAGGCGTGGGAACTGGGTGACCCCCTCTGCCTGCTATCTCAGCTCCGCCTCCATGCCTGCCCTTCCTCACACCCACGTTCCCTTGGCCCTGGGTGGCTGTTGGAAGGGAACGTGGCTTGAGCAGGGCTGGCTCTCGCTGGCTGAGGACACTTGACTGAGTTCAGGCGGAAACCATGCCCTTCTCCCCTGAGCATCTACAGAGAAACTTAGGCTCCTCACTCATCGCCCTGGGAAGCAATTAGAGGCATAATTAAAAGTCACCCAGGTTCCTCTGTCTCTAGACAGACTCATTAGAGCTAATGAGGGACTTGCTAAGGCAGAGAAGGGTGGCGGAGTAGCCGGGAGGGAAGGAACAGGGCTGGGACACAGAATGGCAGGCTGGTAGGAGTAATGGCGTCCTTGGGGGCTGCAGCCTAGCCTAGGGTGACAGGAGAGGAAGACACTGTTCAGGTAAGGCCCTGGAAGCTGCAGCCAGCCATGCTGTAGCCCTCTGTCCACACCGACTGCCCCAGGGTTCTTGATGGGCCCTGCAGAGAGATCTGGCTGGCTCCACACCTTACCGAAGGTTACATTCTGGCTGCGACTCTGTGGACCCAAAGAATGAAGGGGGACAGGAGAACCTAGCCCGGCCACAGAGCTCCATCTTGGCTCAGAGGAGATCGCACTGCTACCCCTGGACCAGTTATTGCCTTTCCTGAGCAGTTTGTTTTTCCATCTTCAAAATTAGGTGCTAATTCAGTTGATTTCAACTTCCTATCAGTTCTGTTTACAGTGAGCTCACACACTGGTGGGGCTTGGGGCCTCCTTCATTTTCCTTGCATCCCCTTGGTCTCTGAGGTTCACCTGAGAAACCTAGGGGCCCCAGAGCATGATTCACTTCACAGGTGTTGTATAGGGCCCCTCTACCCCACAACTAGAAGCAGGGACCAGCAGCTATTTCTGGGACATTACTTAGTAATTTCCATTCATGTCGCCACTAGTCGCCCAATGGGACCCAAGCCTCTGGCTCACTGATGAGTTAGCCTGGGATGCTGCCCAGGCCCAGCCCTCCTTCAGGCATCTTCTATCCCATCCCCCTTTCGTGAGGGGCTCTTGTGTTTATTGGGCACACACCATTCTGTCCCACTGATATGAGGACTGTGTTAGCAGTTGTGACTGTCATGTCTTGGCTTTAATTCTCATAACAGTGTTGTGGGGTGGATACTATGCATATCACCTCATTTTACAGATGAGGTTGCTCAAGGTAAAGGACCTGGCCAGCCCCGTGGGCCTAGTCAACTGGAGGCCAGATTGGCCCAGCCATGGGCTCCACAGCCCTTCATAGCCACAGGGCCTCTCAGCCTGTGACCTGAACACTGCGACCCAGAAAGGACAGGTGGGTCCAGTTCCTGGGCAGGCAGTACAGCCCAGGCACAAGAGGGCAGCCCTGCCAGTGGGATATGCCCGCTTCGCCCAGGCTGCAGCCCAAGAAAGAGCGGGCAGTGCCGGCTATCAGGTGAGGTATTGACAACTCTCCAGGTTCTTCCTGCACCAGCTGCTGGTCTGATGAAGATTACTGCCTTTCCCAGGACTGCTGCTGGGCTGGACCAGGGTTGCAGTTGGGCCCTTTGTTTGCCAAGCCCACAGCCTCAGACTGTGCTCCTGCTGGTATCCAAGCTGGTCCTGCTTGCTTTGCACCTTTGACCCCATCTTCACCTAAGCCCTTCCTCTCTTCACAAAGGCTGCATCCTATTCCCCAAAGAAAGCAGACAAAAGCAATGAGGATGTCAGACAATGAGGGAGTCTTAGGACCCTCAAAGCTTCGGATCGGTTCATACCTGCTCCCAAGTTAGAGATGGGAAGATTGAGGCTGGGAGAACAAGGGACTGCACAGAGCAGAGATTGTGAAACCCATTGGGTGGCCTTTGGCTCTGGCCAGGCAGGTGAGGGCAAGCCGGAGGATGGATTTTATGCATGTGCGTCAGCAGCTGCTCCCAGAGCTGGAAAGGTTGTTGTGGGAGTGGCTGGAAGATGCCTGAACTCAGGGAGGGAAGGAAGGAAGGCTGGCCTCTTACCTGTGTGCGACACTCCCCACCTTCCCCAGCTCACCTGGACCCTCCACAACAGTTCCTGGGGACCCCTCATCTTCTGCATACCTGGGCAGGTGGCCTCCCAGACATACCCACAGTGGTATCCTGTGCACAACTCATCCCTGGGCCCCGAGGCCCTGGTTTAAGTTGCAAAAAAAGAAAGGAATGCAAAAAAGAGTGCTTATTTATCCACTTCCCCTTTGCAATCTCCCCTAGGCCCTGTGGCTTCCTGCCAACAGCCAGATGGGAAGCTGGGAAAAACATTTTGGGCGAGGGAGTAGAGTTTGCTGGCAGATGGATGTTGGCGGTTTGGCCTCTGAAACCTGTTGCCGTAACTCACTGAGCTGCTGCTCTCCCAGAGAGAAATCAAGGAGATGGTAGGGGATGGCCAAGGTGGCTGCCTTCCCCTAGCAGGGAATTCAATCCCAAAGTGACACTCAGCACGTTAAAAAAAAAAAAAAACAAAAAACCTGTTGAGGCAACAAGGCTCTGCTGAAATTTGTTCTTTTATGCCTTGCTTTGTTCCCAAAAAGTTTGGAGTCAATTTACAAAACACATAAACTAAAATAGAATAAAAATAGACCTGAGAAAAAACAATGCTAGAACGAACAGTACAATGAACCAAAAGGGAGTACACAGAATTGTTCTCCGGCTGGGGGCCTACACAGTTCTCAAAGTGGGATACAAACTGGACTCTGAGCTTCCTATTCGTCAAAACAATGAGAAAGCTGCCTGTTTCAGCTCACAAGTTAAGATGAACGCAGAAATAGCTCAACTCTTTCTAACACTTCTTGAAGGGCCAAGGGAAGGTGTCCCAGACAATACCCTCAGCCTTGTAAAAGAATCCAATAGTCTTTTTTTTTTTTTTTTTGGTTTTTCTCCGGTACCAGGAACTGAACTCATGACCTTGCGCTTGCCAGGCAGGCGCTTTTGCCGCTGAGCTAAATCCCCAGCCCCCAGAATCCAATAGTCTTAAAAGTTTGTGCCCCCCACCACCAATTAATATGTAGAAATCTTAACCCCCAAAGTAATGGTGTTTGGAGGTGGAGCATTTGTGGGAGGATCAAGTCATGAGGGTGGAGCCCTTGTGATTAGAATTAGTGCCCTTGGGGCTGGGGATTTAGCTCAATGACTCTGCGCCTGCCTGGCAAGCGCAAGGTCGTAAGTTCGATTCCTGGTACCGGAAGAAAAACAAAAAACAAACAAACAAAAAGAATTAGTGCCCTTAGGAAGAGACCTCAGACACAGGGATGAAACTGGAGCATATTCTATCAAGCAAAATAAGGCAGGTACAGAAAGACAAATACTATGTGTTGTTATTCATATGTGGAAGTGAAAAAAATTAGTAGAGAGCAGAAGTTTTCCCTAGAGGTCAGGAAGGGTAGGGAGGAGAGGGGATAGTGGGAAGTCAGACAATGGCTACCAAAATATGGTCAGAGGAAGAAAAAGTTCCTGTGTTCTACAGCACAGGAGAGTCACTAGAGTTCACAAGTTCTATGTGTTTTATAACGAACTAGAAGAGAAGAGTTAGTTCCCAACACAAAGAAAGAATAGACCTTTAAGGAGGAGGAAATGCTAATCACCTATCTGATCATTATGCATTGTACACATGTATGTACCCTATAAATATATACAGTTGTGGCAATCCTTTACAATGCAAATAAGTAAACAAACAGTGCTCTAAAAGACAAAAGAGAGACAGAAAGGAGGAAAAGTAAAGAAAGGAAGGAAAGGAAAAGGAAGGGAAGGGAAGGGGAAGAGGAAAGGGAAAAGGAAAGGAAAAGGGGAAAGGAAAGAGAGGGCCCAGGCTGGGGCTATAGCTCCATGGTAGAACACTTGCATAGCATATCCAAGGCCCTGGATGTGACCCACAGCACTCAAACAAAGGTCCAAAGACTCCCACATGCCTTCTATCATGTGAGGACACAGCAAGAAGGTGGTACCTATGAATCAGACACCAAATCTGCAGACTCCCTGAACCTGGTCTCCCCAGCTCCTGAACTGTAAGCAGAGACGCTGTGGTTCACAAGCCACTGGGTCATTGCTAAGTGGCCTGAGCAGGCTAAAGCACAGCCGTGGCCACACAGAACCCATGTGCTGCAGTCTGCACAGTGCTCTGTGGTGCCCAGGGCTTGGTGCTGAGACACAAGACAGCGAAACCATATCAAAGTGGGATCAGACCCAAGTAAGCCTAGCCACTCCCCTTGGACACACAGTTTAGATTCGCCCAGAATCTCAGCCCCAGCACTACTGACGTTTGAGGCTGGTCACAGCTGCTGG